GATATTCATGCCGTGATGTCATGTCAATTTTACATGTTGCCTGATCTTATGTAGAATTATCAGAGTCTATTTAATATTTCTCGTTACATTATTGTAGAATTCAACTCATTTCACCTTAAATTAATTTGTTGAAGTGCAACAGTATCCATTTTCCGATATGTACTGCTTGTTCAGTTTTGTGCAGTTTTTATTACCAATTCAGACCGAAATATTCAATACTAAGTGCGATATATTTTTTCCCTTCACAACAACTTAAATACTTTCTATTCTTGCTTCATATCAAGATTGTAATCTGCAATCCACTTCTGAATGATTTTCACTTCTTGCTTTCTCTGGTTGACGAGCCAGTCCGGATCTTTTCTAGTTGCAGAACGCAAATCCGTATGGTGTGCTCCTGATTTAACATAAATTTTAGCCAAAACCATATCTTGTCTTTCAACTAAACGAGTGCATAAAGATTTACTTACCTTTCTCGGTCACTAAGGCCACAATGCTGCTTGATATGTTCTTCAGCACACTGAATTCGTCCATTTGAAATATGTCAGTTTCTCAAAGGATTTTTCAACTTGAAGTTTTGTACCTTTGCGTATGAAAATTCATGGTAGGAGTTACAAAATCTCGAGGTACTTGAAATTTATCACATCAACTGACCTGCCTCTGCTCCATGGATCTTGCAATCCATTGGAGAAAATGATGTTGCTACCAAACCTCTTGAGTACTTGTTCAATCCTCTATTTGGACAATTGTTATTGTAAATAAGAGCAAAATTGAAAATAAATGCGTGTGATATGACAATTTAAACACCAAAGATCTGAACTAAAAACTCACTGTGCCTCCGAATTCAGTGGTGATCCAGTGTGGGCGTGGCGCGACTCCAAATTGTTTCATGCAACCCTCTGCATTCTCCTTGTAACTGAACGAAGATGGAGGAAACATGCTCTCATTTGAAACCACCATTGGCATAACCATCTCTGTACATGCCTAAACAATCATTTTTTAGAGAATCATGAGCTTGTCCACATAAAAATTCAATCTTTACAACATTCTAAATGGTTCGACCAACTACTGTCTCAGAAAACTAATATTTGTTCTTCGTTGAAGCCTTCAATCAATCCTTCAGTAACTACGTTTATAAACTTAAAGAAGTATTTTCTCCCAAATATTCAAATAGTGTAGACGAATTTCTCAAAAATTGCTAGATAGATGGACGTGGATTAGCCCCACTTTGTGCACTGCATAAGACTAACTCCTATAATGCGTGTTGGTATGCTTTTGGATGGTATAATGAATAACATTTTAGCTTCTACTTCTTTTTTAATATTGTCAAATACTATTCAATCCTCGTACCAAACATGCGTAAAGTGGATTGCACTAACTCATGTAGTACTAGGCATGAAAATAACCTAATGCTGACTTGGTGAAATTGAATCAGGCTCAGTTGTTCAGAACAACATTTCAAGGTAACTGATTTTCTGCGGTGTTTTTTGTCTTTATAATTCTGTACATATTAAACGGAAGAAATAGGGAAATTCCTTTCAGTTTCACTTCCATATAATAAGAACTTATGTCCAGAACAATATTTCAAGTATAACTGATTTGCTACTGTATTTTTAAACGTTAGAAAATAGAGAAATTCCTTTTGTGCAAAAAGGGTGATGCGAAATATGCATCGTGTGCTTGACAGTTTTAATTTTAAATCTTCTACCTGCCAGTTCCAACCACTGAGGCCATGTTCATCAGTTTCATCTTCTAGCTTGAAGCATTTTTCTGTTTGTGAATAATTGTAATATAAGCTTGCAGCTGCAAAAACCCTGCTGAGCTTTGTGGTTTGTGGTGAGGATCCATCAATAATTTTGCACATCTTCATCCAAAAAAGAAAATAACTATTTGAGAAATTAAAATATGGTCCAAGCTAATTTGCACTCAGCATACATAAAAAGTTGAGATTGTACCTCTTCTACTGGATAAGCAGGCAATGGCATCATAAAATTAGCTGCTGTTGGGTAATTCACCATTGCTGTGTAAACAAAAGCTTCCAATATCCAGTCACGTGCAGAATTAATTGAATGAACTTGCCTGAAATTCGACGCCCAAGTTATTCATTGAAATGATTTTGTTTCCACAAAATACAGTCATTTGAACATCGAGTGCATGTACGATAAGCAGTAGTGGATAGGATTACAAGGTGACAGTTCTTGCAGAGAACAAAGTGAGGGGAACTAGTTTTCTCAATTTTTTCCATTTCCATATTCTCTTATGCTCTTCATCAAAACATTAAAATTGATATAATAGATTTTAGGACCGTTGTCAAGAAAAATGTAGTTCTAGACTCTTCTTACAACCTTAAACTTGACCTATGTTTTCTTCTCGTTTCTGAGACTTACTTGCAAGCTCTGAAATCCTTGCTGAGTTCAGCCAACCCTTCGTCTTTTGCTGATATAGAATCCAACTCAGCCCAACTACCCTTTATCACCTCATAGCAATTTAAGCTTGCATCCTGCCCAAAACCAATGAGTTCTTATAAATATACAGTAATTTTCTTTCATCTTCTCCCAAGGTTAGAATGGGCTTTTTGTCATTAAATTTAACTTTCTTTTACAGACCTTATAATCCTGGGAAACTGCATCATAGAAGCTAGACCATGAAGTAATGTCATCAAACTGCAAAATTGGGGCTGAAGATGCCAATGCTCCAATGGCTATGTGGGGGTATTTGAGTCTAAACCAAGCTGCAAGCACTGGAAGTACAAATAATTCATTATTGGCATGTTTGATTATGAGTAATAGCACTGGACATCATTTTCTAAGAAACGGGAATTAAAATCTAGTTCATTAGACTAGATTGTTCGGTCCAGCCAACCAAAGTGCAGCTAATTATTAAAAGTGATTGCAACCACTGATAAAGTTTGAAAATTCCATCTTATCTGGTAAAGATTGAAAACAAAAGTTCACATGCACACTTGCCACTAAAATATCTATTTTTTAAGTCATGTCAATTTCAATAATAAGTTCATAAGCTAAAGTTTGAAAGGAATCTTTAAGTAGACATACTTCCACCATAGGACCCTCCAAAGACTACAACTGGGGATGCCTCAGAAGATAAATTATGCTTCAAACTTCTTATCAAGACTGCATAATCAGCGAGTGCTTGCTGTGAATTCAAGTACCCCAATGTCTTTGCAGACCCGTAAGAATGCTTCCCAAATGGCATTGATTCTCCATAAAACCTATGCTGAAAATTCAAGGAAAAATAAAGTTCTAGCATCAATTTTTAACTCGTAGAACAACCCTTCTCTCAATCTCCCAATATCAAGATCTGCTTTCCATCAATCAAAAGAAAATTATAGTCAAACTTTGCATAATAAGAGCGTTCGAGCAACTTGGAAATACTGAAATTAGCTTTAGAGGATGACTACTGGCTGGTGCAATTTTCATGTCAGAATATTAAGACGGCCTCATACATGTGGATGCCTAATATACTCGATAAGAGAAGTCTACACTATGATTAGGCCTCAAGGTAAACACTTGCTTGTGATAGCAGCCATTCCCCGAAAAGGGAGAGCTCGACTAAAAGGGGATAGAGAGGAAATCCTGTACCTCAATGAAGACTAGGAGAGCATGAAATTTCGGAGCAATATCAAGCATGAAGCCAGAATTGGCAGCAAACCAATCGATATCTCCTTCATTGCCTGTATACACAAATATGGGGGCTCCTTTTTGCCAGTACTGGCTATTTATCAGATACTTCTGATAGAATATTTTGTAACTCTTAGGTTGAAATGTGAAGTGGTCTAAAACCTGAGGAAAATACTGGGCTTTGTAAGGTATCTTTGGCTTCACAGTTTTGCCAATTTTCTTCAATGAAGACTGGTAAATTCCTGGAAAATATACTGATTCCACTTCTGCTAAAGTAAAAGCAAAGAGAAGTAGCAAGAAAATGGTTGAAAATGAAGATAATTCCATTACTTCTTTTTGTTTCTCCTAAGTGCGTGCACTGTGTGTGTTTTGAAGAGGTCTATAATACTGTAATGACCACCTTGACGTTGGCTTTTGTTGAAATTTGATTGAAAGTGATCGTCTTTTTGGACGAAAATTGAAATTTGGAGCTTTGGAAAATTACATTGCATGATTTAACACGAACTAGACTTTCCTAGTGCCAACAGCTGGCGCCTTGCTTGGCAATAGTATGGAGCTGAAGTTGCTCTTTTGTCATATACGGAGAAAATGGTTTGGTGATTTTTCAGTTTATGCAGTGTTTTGAAGCTCAAGTAAAATACTTTGTAGGGTGCAAAAACTGCATAAAAATTAGGGGGTAAGCGGTCCGATTTTTGCGATTTTTGACAAATTTTCAAACCAAATCGTTTTGATCGGTTTGAAAAAAATTCAAACCTAAACCTAACGGTTTGGTCTGATTTTAAACCGTCGGTTTCGCATATATTTATTTCATATCTAGTATCTACTTTTATGCAATTTATTCAATATATATTTATATCTTACTAGAAAAAAATCTAAAACAAACT